CAGCCTCAGCTCTCCCTGTTCAGGAGTCGAACGGCTGCTTTGGGCTCAAGGGGGGATTTCTGAAGCAAAAGCACATTTTTTACCCTGCAGCTCACTCCCAAAAAAAAAGGACCAGGTGTCTCTTTTCTCCAGTGGGATGCAGGCGTGATTATTTCTACTCAGTCTCAGAGCAAAAAGGTGCCTCAGCCAAGGCATGGTGCCATCCTGCTGGTGACTGAACCGATGCCATGTAAAGTAGGTGGGTGTGGATGCAGCAATCAAACGAGACAAGGTAGAGAGGAGAGAGAGAAGCACAAAGAGAGTGGCTTGCTTGAAGAAATACAGCATTTCAGTTGCACAAAGAGAATCTAAGGCTGCAAAATCCTACTCCTGTTCTGCATCCTCTGCTTGTAGGGACCATCAATAATTTGACCATAATGGGTTTCTCTTTTATTGAATTTCACCCAGTTCCAGGAAGGCTCTGGGGTTGTGCTGCGTCTTGCTAAAACCAGAAGTATCAGATTCTCTGAAAGAAACTAGTCTTCCGAGGTTTTCAGACCCAAACTATTTAGAAAAGGATTTTTTTGTCTGTTTATCTGAACTCGGAATGAACTGTTGAAACGTTTGAGGTTTGTCCCTAATAAAAACACGGTTTTGAATCACTGAAAGATTCCACTTCATAAATACGGCCTTCAAAGCGAGCAGAGGTGGTTGTGCTTTCCTGGGACGTGTTTTGCCTGGAGTCAAGGCTAACTGGTACTTGAAACTCATATTCAAGGATGCTGAAACACTGCAAATTGATCCCACACAGTTTCTGCCCCTCTATTGAGTGGTGGGAAACTTACTCCTGCAGCCAAAATAGGAGGATTCTTTTGAATCTGAAATACATCAAATTTGTACTCAGATCTGAACCTTTTTTGAATGTTGCCTGAGACCTGCCGGTGGGACTTGGGAGTCGAACCATTCTCTGTGCTCGTTTTTGCTGCCTGCCTCCAGCGTGGCAGTTCCCATTCCAGCCTCTGCATCTGGCACAGTGGACCCTCGTGCCAGCGTGGTGGCACTGCCCATCGTCACCGGCATGGCTTGCGTTGCGGGGATTTCTGGGCATTTTGTAGCCTCGTGCAATGCCACCTGGTTGCCATTTGGCCGTGCTCCATTTGCCCTGGCCAGTCTCTGAAAACCTAGATCAATGTAACGGTCAATCATCGCAGCAGCAAAAGATGCGCCGTTATCCAAAGCTGGTAAGAGGTCGTGCTCTCTCACTGTCATTTGAAAAAGGAAATTTTCACTGATGCAGTTTGGAGCCCTATGGTGGGCAAGTAGTTTCGCCTGTCAGAGTTGTTAAGGTTTATAAAGTATTTGTCAAAAAGTAGAAAAAAAAAAAAAAAGCCACTTTAGAACTACTCTCTGGGAAGGGCATCATTTTGATGCCAGCCTTTGTTTGTTAACCACTCCTTGCTAGAAAGGAAGTTGCATTTCGTGACACAACCACGTCTCAAGCAAAAAGCCTGAAATTTATGAGAAGGTCAAAACAAGACATTGCAGCAATTTTAAAGCTTTGTTGCAATTTCATTTTCTTCCAGCCAGGAAGTTGGACAAAAATAATCCTTGCCATGAAAAGTTTTGTTTTCAGCAAATCAACATTTTTCTTTTTTTTCCCAGAGAAAAAGCCTCCTGGGAAAATTCCTGCTCTGGGGTTGGCTTAAATTTGAACAAAACAACAGTGTCTCCTAGTGGCTGACTCCAGGGGAATGGCCAAATCCATCTTGGCTTTCACGTGTCTCTTCCTTGACCTTCCTCCTAGATCTTTGCTCATCAGCGAGTGAGAGAAGTGGGAAATGAATTGTGCTCTAAGCAACAAACCATTTTATAAGCCATAAAAATATCTATGGCAGGCTGTTTTCTAGGCTCCAGTTGGTGTTGAAAGAAGGTAATTACATTTGAAGGCTGTATCACTGGATGCTTGGCTCATCTGCTGTTCGGCTTCCACTGTAATAATACAAAAGCTCCCATCAGCAGCTCCGCCAGCATGCAGGGCTATCCATCCTTGTCTGTGCCCAGTGGGTCCTGCCTCCGTGTCACCGCAGGATTGCGCTCCAGACGTCACGTTACAGCGGTCCTTGTCATCGAATTAGTTCTGCCTCGCACCAAATCTGCTCGCTAAAGGATAATGAAGAGCTCTTGTCTGAAGCACGATTGGCTTTGCAGTGGCAGCCTGCCCTCCGCCAACCCTGCCCAGGCGTCCTCCCATCGTCTCCATCTGCTGGATCAGCTCCTCATCACACCGACTGATGATCTCATCTGGGCCACCTCCGTGTCCTCTCCTTTCCCTCTCCCTCATGCCCTCTCTCCCCTCTCCTGAGAGATGGCTGCGGCTTTGCTGCTGCACTCTCTGAACTCGTATGTGAAGCAAAAGTCACAGCACTGGAGAGTGAGCAATGAGGGCACCAAATTGTCGAAGGAAATTGGCAAATCCATTCAAGCAACGATACCAGCAGGTTAACTGGTGCAATGGTGTGTGTTCAACAGGCCAGAAAAAAAAAAAAAAAAATCTTGGGATTGGCTTAGAAAACCTGGGATTTTAGAGAATAGCAACTGACAAAATCTTTTCATTTGCCTGACGGTGTTTTTAAGTTTGTGCAGATTAGGCTTTTCAGGCTGGGCACTGACTTTTTTTTTGTAATGAGTCCTGAGATTGTCTTGTCGTATTCACATAAATTCCAGGATTAGGGATTTTGGAAATGATCCCCAGCCATCCCAATTTCCATGATAAAATTGTGACTCTCAGCAGCACATCTGGCCAGCGGCAAGGCGAACTTGGAGAACACTGAGCCAAGTTTTACTTTGGCGGATGAGACACCTGCAGTACTGCAGACTGCGAGGCACTTCAGGTAGCAATGGGCAGGTTCTCTGTGTTTCCCAGCAGAAAGCACTATGGAACAACCCTGTCCCTTCAGAGCTGCCCAAACTGCAGCTTCCTCGCTGATGATTGTCTCATTAATCTCCCAGCCTGAAGGCACTAACGAGCCATCCTCAGCATGCCATGAACACCCTGTCCCAAAGAGCTCTCAAGCCTGCTGCCTGGAGGGATGGGAGAATTTAGTAAGTTATTTTGCTTCTTGTTCAGAATGCCCTTGTATAACCCCAGCCGAGGGGAAGCCAACCATGCCAGCCATGCGCTGCTCCTGACAAATAACCCGAGCACGCTGTGAGCCTAGTGTCCCATCACCGCTGTGGCTTGCAGCGGGACAGGTGCCTGGGAGCCCCCGGGGCTGTTTCAGGCACTGTCTCTGCTGGGGAGCCCATTAGATGCCGTCCTAGAGCAGCTCTTTTCTCCAGCTGTGTTTCCTTTGCAAAGGGAAGACCTCTGCCCAGGTTGTTTTGGCGTCGCTGGGGAAGGCACAGAGATGCTGTGATGTTGGGGAGGGAATCGCCACCCCTGCAGCAAGGAGGGAGTGAGGAGGGCAGTGCGGTGATCGCGCTGTTCAGGCGCAGACAGCCGGGCCAGCCCTTGCTGGTGACTAAAGAACTGAAATTGCACAGTCCTTCCCCTGCTGTCCCCTAGTAATTAGTGCACGTGGATTATAAACACAGGGACTGAGGCTCTTAGTGCTCTTTCTCCTGGATAAATGGTTGAGCAAAAGACAGTATTGGCTAAAGTGATTTAGCCGATGAACGATGCTTCATTAGCAGCCCACAGACTGTGATTCCTATAGTAGAGGATGTGTGGGCTCTTCCTGCATCCGAGTGAACTCTTTCACCCTCTCCTTCGCTTGCCAGGGATTCAGTTTGCAGAGCATGGAGTTAAATGTGGCTGTGCCACATCATTGCAGTGCTCTTCTCCCTTCAGAGCATCAAATAATGCAACAACATCCCCAAGAAACCACCAACTTTTAACATCGTGTCTAATGATGGATGGGGAATAAAGGAAGCTGTTATCAGTCAGGAGATGAGTCAGATATGGAAATAACAGCTTTTTCTAGACAATATTATTACACTGAGGAAACTAAAAAGACTCATTTTCTTTCCTAAAAGAGCAGACCTTGAGCATTTGCAATGCACATTGCAGAGTCTGGCGCTGTTTGAAGGAGTAGCTCCAGTAAGTGAGGGAACCCCAGCCCACCTTTTGCATCTGTCCGTGCTGTGCCACGTTTTGGAGCCTGGCTGCTGGACAGACATTGGTGTGCTTCCCAGGAAAGGAACGTTGTAAGGCTGTGTCTGGAAAGCAAGGTTGTAGCCCAAGGTAATTTGGCACTGGTGATAGAGGAGGGGAACAGAAAAATCAGTTCTTGGATTTAACCTGCTTGGAGTCTTCTGCACTCAGAGAAACCCACGCTGATCCTGGAGGAAATCCTGCCATTTGAACAAAATCTGTACTAACCAGGACTGCAGAAGGAAAAAATCATCTTGGGGTTTTTTGGGGACAATTTCCAAAGGGAAAATTTATCTCTCCAGGGAGATAAACCTGTTGATCCTACTGACTTTAACTGGTATTTGTTTTCCTAAATCTCTTAAGAGATGTCTGCAAGGAAAGCGCTTTGTTTGTGTGTGAGTAGGGCTGTACTGTATTGACAGTGCCCCTGCTTTGGATATAGCAGAATCCAAAAAGCTCTGCCGGGGTTAGTGCAATAAAAACAGCCTGACCAATGCAAGTCCAAAGAGAAGCTCTACAAGCCATGCTGGCCATTCACCTGGATAAGAGTATCTTGCAACAGTGAGCAAGCCCTCTCCTTTGCATAGCTCTAGTTTGTTGGGCGCACATATTGGGCACAGCTGTTCTGCAACTGCTCCAGAAATGGGCTGGAATTGTGTGTTTCCAGTAAGACTCACAGGGACTGTCCGTGAAGCTTGTCTGCTGTTCCCCTCAGACACGTCTCTGCCCCTGTGGCTCTCCGGAAGGAACATGGGAAGATGGAGCATTTGTGCATCATTAGCACAAATCCCAGAGCAGGAGGAACGTACCTGCCTTTAGCCATTTCCTCTGTGCATCTGTCTGACCATGTTGCTTTTTTGCCCCTTAGCCAGATGAGTTGACGAATGCCTTGGAGATCAGTAACATCGTCTTCACAAGCATGTTTGCCCTGGAGATGCTCCTGAAACTCCTTGCCTTTGGCATCTTCGGCTACATCAAGAACCCGTACAACATCTTTGATGGGATCATTGTTGTCATCAGGTCACTACCAGTTCTTTCTCTACTGTGGGTTTTTTGCCGAGGGCTCGAGCAGTTGGGCAGTGGGATGGGGAACAGGAATGGCGTGGCATGTGTTAATCCAGGGCTTGCTGGCTATGATGTGCTATAATTATGCTGGCCTTTTTGATTCCTATCATTAGAAGGGCTGTCCAAAGTAAATGGACCTGGCAGATGGAGAACGAAGTCTATTTATGCCACACATCTGGCATAAATATTCAATTTTCCACTGAAGTGCAGAATGGCTGGTCCTGGGAAAGGAGTACTGTGAGTGTCTGTATCCCAGCAGTGTGCCCTCTCCATCTCCCAAATTAACACGTAACTCAGGCTGGAATAGGGCAAACAGGAGGGTAAGAGAGGGCACTGTTCTGTGCTTTCCCAGGGGGTGCTATCCCAGCGCAGGGATGTCACAGCATGTATGTGAGAAGCTTGTGCAACACCTCTGTGTGCTGGGATTCCTTCTAGCAGTGCTCTTCCCCCCTCGGTCCATACCTCTGGGTAGCAGCTCGGTACAAAATTGTGATCCACACTTTGTGGCTAGGCTTGTGACTTCCTGTAGTGACGCAGACTAGCAGGAGACATGCTGTGTTGAGAAGAGCCACAAAAAATAAGGGAATTTAATATCCAAGAAAGCAGCTCTAAAGGATATAGGTTGTGCATGGGAAGCTGGGAGGTAAAGGTGTTTTTCAGAAGCAAGAAAGTAGCAGGCAAATAAACTACCCCTTTAGGACTTAAATGCTGTGATATCCTGTAAGAAACCAGCCTGCTCAGGGCTTTCATAGTAATGGACTGCTCTTTATAGTTCTTCTCCTTCTGGTGTTCCTGCAGCGTCTGGGAGATCATCGGCCAGTCGGACGGAGGCCTCTCTGTGCTACGAACTTTTCGGCTGCTCCGGGTGCTGAAACTGGTGCGGTTCATGCCTGCCCTCCGTCGCCAGCTGGTGGTCCTGATGAAGACAATGGACAACGTAGCTACCTTCTGCATGTTGCTCATGCTCTTCATCTTTATCTTCAGGTACCAGAGGCAGCAGCTCTTCTTTGATTAATTGTTCAGCTTGCTTGAGTAATACGTAGATTACAATAACAGTACGCCGCATTTTTTAGGCTGCCTACATGGTAGAATTGCTCCAATAGACTGTCAAGCAGACACTCAACAGGCTATTTACCTGGTTTTGGTCTCAGAGACTATTTACCTGTTTTCGGTCTCAGTTTTTCACGCAGTACCGTAATTGTGTAGGTGACTGAAGTACACAAACAGGCAGCAATTGCTCTGGAGTTCCTGGGAGTCTCAGTTGTGTCTCAGGAAGCTGTCGGTAACTGGACTCCACCAGTGTTGCTTTTGAGATGGAGGTTGTACAAACTTCAAGTCTTCTTTCTGTTTGACCCTGTAATGCTCGTCAGGATCCTGTCCTTGGAAACCAGTTGGACTAGGCAGCTGGCAATACGGTTTGTCATTTTCTAGACAAAGGAAATCCCTGATCTGACTTCAGTATAGACAATTGTAATGAAAAGTGACATAGAAGAACCAAATGGCAGGGTTTGATCAGTGATCATGTCAGTGGTGGAGCAGAGCCCTTCTTCCTGGGAGATACCACTGGCACAGAAAACACTGCAGGGGGAAAAGTGTCCAAAAAATCACTGCAATCCTCCCTGAATCCATATTTCACACAATAATGTGTGTCTTATCTCTCTCTTTCCCACTCTAGCATTCTCGGCATGCATCTTTTTGGATGCAAGTTCAGCCTGAAAACTGATACAGGAGACACAGTTCCAGATAGAAAGAATTTTGATTCCTTACTTTGGGCCATTGTGACCGTATTTCAGGTAAGCTCTGAATCCTCTGGGAAATTTTAGTGTAGACCACCTGGACAAGTTATTTTTTCTTTAAATACCTATTCTGGTAGGTGTCAAATTTGCACTGAAATGGCACTGTAGAGTTATTAGGGCAAAGTGATTGTGTTTCTGAGTTAGCTGGTCTCTCTAAGCTCTGACAGAGAAACAATTACTCAAAATCATCACTGTGCATATCTGTTGTCAGTAAAAGTCTAAGAAAGCCTGTAAATCCACTCTTATTTTTCTTTCATGTAGTCAGTAAGATCAAGACCCAGAGTCTGCTGCTGTCCATTCTGCTCCTATTCTGTAGATCTCTGTCTCCTTACTTGCCCTCTCTGCCCCAAAAATGCACTTTGCAAACCATTTCATTTAACTGGGAGAGATAAATACTGTCATAAATCAGAGCTGGAGTTGCTGGCGTTAAGTGCTGGGAAAGTCTTTCTATATAAAGTTGTGTTTCCTCTGCAGACAAGTTCTGTTATGTGCTTGGAATTACTGGCGTGTTCTGCAATGGAGCAATAAGCTGCTATTTCCAGGACATTCTAAATATAAAGATTAGTCTTTTCTGGCTAAAAGCTCAGTCTTTAGAGCCCAAGTGCAGCAAGTGGAGCACAATGTAAACAACGTTAAGCTAAGTTTCTAAATGCAGAGTAGGTGTTCACCACAGTATAATTCGGGGTAGAAACCCAACCAGAGTCTTCACTGTGAGCAACAGAACTTCTTGCAAAGTTTTCCTTCTTACAGAGGAGCAAAGACACATCAGCATTAGTCTCGCAGGTTCCTATTTTTTATTTTACCAAGGTAAATACAGATTTCTGCATTTATTCTAACAGTTCCTTGGGAAATAGAGTTGGCACCGAGCACAAGGGCTCAGTCCTACATCCTGCGAGGGTTAACGAGTGGCGTGGCTCAGTGCAGCTGGCTGCATTCCTACCCCAGAGCTGCCGTGTTTTCAGGAGGGCTAGAGGCCGTTTTCATTGTAAATCTGAATTAATGTGGAGCATGAATCTGTCATTGTCATCCATTTTTCTTAGGCCCCAGGATTTTTGAGCTCCCGGAAAGCTAGGAGAGTGGGAATCCCTGAGGAAGGTCCCTTGCAGCAGGGCTTTGCAAAGACGTGTATTTTTTTGCCTGGCTTGTCACTAGTTTTACCTAATGGAAACCACTTTGCTTCCCTGAGTTTCTTAAGCCACCCCATGTCATTTATCTTGTCAAATATCATGTCCCCAACCCTTTCCTTCAGCTCCAGATGCCTTATAAAGAGCAGGTCAAAAGGAGAGACAACAGCTCTGGCTTCAGGTCTGTTATCTGCTGATGGTTATCAAAGGAGGCAATGCCACCACCCAACAATGGGACTTTTATGTCCTTCATGTTACCTATCTAGGATCTGAACTAGTTATCTCTGTGGGCAGGGGTGTGCTAGATCCTCCGCAGAGAGGGGAGGTTTGGCCAGGAGAGAGCTATCCTGCAAAGATCTAAAAGGAATGTTTTGCTGTCTCACCTCATGAGACCTGCTAATGATTATACTCAGAAAAGGTCAAAAGGAGAGGAAGAAATGGATGAGTCAGTATGTGAATGCAGCTGCTGTGCATGAGAGGAGTGGAGTAATTAGAGAGTCTTCCCCTTCACCTCTCTGCAGATCCTCACTCAAGAGGACTGGAACGTGGTCCTGTACAATGGGATGGCATCTACATCCTCATGGGCAGCACTCTACTTTGTGGCCCTGATGACCTTCGGCAATTATGTGCTCTTCAACCTTCTTGTTGCCATTCTGGTAGAAGGCTTCCAGGCAGAGGTAAGAGATCCAAGCAGAGGGAGGGAGAAAATGGAGAAGCATGCGTAGGCAAGAATGTAGGGATGAGTTCACATCAGTGCAGACATCTAGCCGTGCAAGCAGCCCTAAATTTAAATGTAAGGGGTGTAGATGAGCCAAGCTGGGCACGTGAAGCTCTTATGAGTTGCAAATAAGCCCCACTGGACTTGGGAGACCAACACTTTGGTTGATTTGCTACAGGGTCCATTGTATGACCTAAAGGAAATAATTTATCATAGAATCGTAGGATCATTTAGGTTGGAAAAGACCTTTAAGATCATTGAGTCCAACCATTAACCTAGCACTGCCAAGTCCACCACTAAACCGTGTCCCTAAGCGCCACATCTACACATCTTTTAAATACCCTCAAGGATGGTGACTCAACCACTTCCCTGGGCAGCCTGTTCCAATGCTTGACAACTCTTTCAGTGAAGAAATTTTTCCTGATATCCCATCTAAACCTCTCCTGGCGCAACTTGAGGCCATTTCCTCTTATCCTGTGGCTTGTTACCTGGAAGGAGAGACTGATGCCCACCTCGCTACAACCTCCTTTCAGGTAGTTGTGGAGAGCAATAACATCTCCCCAGCGAAGAGTACACCCATCCAAGCCATGAGCAGCCGATTTCTCCAGAATGCTGTGGGAAATGGTGTCAAAGGCTTTACCATCTATTTAGGATGGATTTAACTTGCCTAATCTCCCATATTTCGTGTGTTTTGTGTTTCTTTATGGGGGACCAGGCAGGATGTGAGCTGACTCTCAGTCCTGGCTTTTCCTTGTGATGCTGTCCCTATGTGTAATTTGAGGCTAGTAGCACAGCTGTTACAAACATTAAATTTTTATATACTTAGGGTGATGTAGGATATGTAAATGCTAAAGAGATTTTTACTTACACCTGATAATGTCTGTATCAGGTCAACAAGCAGGGACTTTATGATAAACTGCAGGCATCCCATCTCACATGGAAACGATTAGAGAAATTATTTTATTTCTCCGTCAAAAGCAATATGCCATGTCCTGATCTGAACTATGCAGGACCTTAGCAGCTGTGCATCCAGTCCTGCGCCACGTGATCCAGAGCAGCAGGCCACACTGGTGTGAGTGGTGCAAGTGGTACGGTACTGGTGTGACTGGGGGGGCCCCTGCAGATTCTTAAGTTTTCCTCTCCCCGCAGCAAGTCCATTCCAGGTCTGCTTTCAGCATCCTGAGAGAGTGAAACCAGCCATCCCCTGCCCTATCCTGCTCTTCTCCATCTTCCTTTCAGGTCACAACAAGTCCATTTGGGGCAGATTTTAAGTGAGGATGGTCTATATCAATTGTAAATATAATGATGTTTGTGCACGTACATATTATCCAGAAAAAAAATACTTTTTTTCAAAGTTCTAGTGCAAATGGAAATGATTTTGAGACTTACCAAAAAACATCCAGTCCCAGTTAAAGCTAAGAATAGTGGGATCAAAAGGGCTTATGATGTCGTGCTTTGGGATTTTTTAATTATTACTTTTATTTCTGCAACCATCAAAACAGGAAAGTTTGCTTAGTGCTGGATTGGCTTCAGAGGCTCACAGACTCAGAAAGAAAATAAGAAAATGGCTTCACTTTTCACCGCCTTAGCTCCCAAGGGAAAGAAAAAGAGGAGAAAGAAATTATTTTTATAGGGTTTTTTCCACTTTTCTTTTTTTTTTCCCCCCCAGAAATGGTATCGTACTCTTATTTGCCATGTTTAGATCACACTTAGATGAACCGTGGAATATAACTGAAATCTTAATGGACCAAAAATTCCCTTCTCTCAAGCCAGCACAGCCACATCTATGCCTTTCAACGATGTCTGCGTAGATTCATTATTAGGACATCCCTCCTAGCTTCCTTGCAGCACTAGCAGAGGAAATTTAACTGAAACAACAGGAGCCAAGCCCCAGTTTGGGAAAAAACAACCCTGATCTGCACCACTCAGGGCTGCTTCATGGATGCTGAGGGTAATGAGTGCCACCTGCGCACACAGAGAAGTCCAGCTCTGCGCTTTCAAACTGTACGGCTCTGCGCTGCATTAGTGGGCATCTTGATGTCTTGTATGATGTGGTCCATACACATCTTGTATGATGTGGTCTTGTATGATGTGGTCTTGTATGATGTGGTCCAAGCTGACCAAGAAGAGCACGAAGGTCCTTTTCCAAGAACAAGCCTATACTCCATGTCTCGGTAACTAGAGCTCATGCTGACACTTTTTTGTTTCCAAATTCCTGTAGTTTTCTCAGTGTCACTGATCTCAGCATCTCCTGGCTTTGCTCTGGATGCTATAACACCTTTGTCATATTCCTGCTCTAGTGTAGCCTGTTGCAGATGGGGTTGGACATTTTCACCACTAACCCAGTAAGACCAAAGCAAAGCAATTACCGGTATTTCCACCGGCTCTGCAGTAGCTGCTGCCTTCCAGCCCAGAAGGGGTTTTCCTCTAGGAGAGTTGTAGCTGTATTCAGAGTGGTTGTGCTGGACCTCAATTATACTAGAAAACGACACAGGCTACAGCAGATGTCCTAAAGTATTAGATTGTCCTGAGCTGAATGCAAAAGCGACCAGTACAGTTGGCCATATGGTAGCTCAGAGAGGGGACTGTTCAGTGGCCAGACGTGTCAGATATCCTCAGATTCCACAGACCAGCAAATCTGGGTGGAAAAGGGAGACACGCCAGGGAAACCCAAACAGAGATAACCAGCATGTTTGACCCAAACGCCTGGAAACTGCTCCTGCTCAAACAGTCCTGCACCTAGGCAGGGAGAGCCCTTGTAGAGCAGTTTGCATCCTTTGTTCCTGATTGCCTGAAGGCAGAAGGAAGTTTTCTCGACTTGGCAACCTGGCAGCTTGCAGGTACCTTTGTACAGTCCAGATCCCATGCCTTACCTGCCCTTTTGGAGGTTGAATCCCCTGCTAATGTGAGGCCAGAAATGGGCAGCCTCATGCCCTGCTCTCTGAGCGCAGGGTTGCAGTCCTGGCCAAATGGCTGTCCTTTGCTTGCTCAGGCTTGGAGCTGTTACGAACCCTGATTTAAATGTGTGTAAGAAGTAGTTTTGAAAGCTTGTATTACTCACTCAGTGCTCCCTCAGAAAAGGCCAGCAACCACAGGCATGACATTTGCAGGGCACATTTTGCTCTCCACTTCCATTTATTATAAATCCTGACATGAAGCCTATGGGCTTGTCAGTTGTCTCACGGTGAGGTGTTAGCTGTGCTACAGAAAACCTTTCTCAGGGCTGTATTGCAGCTACAAGGGCTCAGTTCAAGTGTTATGCTTACAAATGCATAACTTAGCCCTGGTTGTAAACCAAAGATGTTTACAGTCTCCTTGAGCAACTCCCCGGAAGAAGTATCAATGGAACTGGGTTTTCTTTCCTTTTGTCATCCCTGGTTCTGATGGTATGTTGGGAATATGGCAGAAATTCTTGATTTGACCTCTTTGACTTTGCCCTCTTACAGGGTGATGCTCTTAGCAGTTACAGCAGACACTGAGGTGCATTTCTCCATTTGTTCAGGTGTTTCTTTTACTTAGATGGAGAGTGACTCCTGGGAGAGTTGTGCAGCTGAGAAAATGCACATTAGAGCTGCTCTGAGCTCTGAACCATCAGCAGCATTTCAGCCAGGACACTAAAAACTGGTCTGTGAATCACAGTGCACAGTCTCAGTTTAATCTCAGGTTCTGATCTGCCTGTGGAGCAAGTTTGGCAGGAGTATCCCTGGAAGAGAATAGGCTTAAATGGCCACAAAACCATTTTTAGTACATTTGTGCGTAGGACAACAAGCAGCCAGGCTTCAAACAGGACCATAATTGCGTATTTGTGCTTACATTGTTCCCATGTCATTTGGAAATCTACCCCAGAGCTGCTCTGGAAAAGCAGACAAACCTTCCAAAATTATGCAAATCTTTCATCTACTCCGCGCTAGTACTTCTGCTCCAAAACAGAGAATATGAATAAGGGAGTTGAAGCCTTTCAGTCATCCTGTCTGTTTGGCTGCACCGGTTAGCGATACATCACAGATGAAATGAAGTTCACTGCCCCTTCAGCACCAAGTCTCTAGAAACCACGGTGATTTGTTCAGGCATCAGTTAAAGAGCTGTGCTCCTTTTTCTGGGATCAGCTGCTTTAATCCAACCCTTTGCTGCCAATTTGCACAGCTTTTCTGAGTCCTGATGGATCAAGCCAGAGTCATGCCAGCAGCCTGCTGGGATCTCTCCTTTCTGCAGACCCCTTGCGGCAGGGGGAACCTGACAATAGCTCTTCTGTCCCAGGCTTGTACATTATTTAGGCTGATCGGTTTTGGTAGCAGAGGCAAATACATATGAAAGAGGAAAATAACTGGACTTCCAGGAGGAAAGCCAGCGTGAGGTGGTTGGCTGTTCTCTGTCCTGGGCTGATGCTGTGCTGCCAGGCAAGCTGGCCTCGTTCCCTTCTGCCTGAAAAGAGATTTCCCAATACAATCTTGATTACTGGTCAGTGTGAAGAAAGCAAATCAGGGCCTGGTTTTCAGATGTAAGTCAAATTTACAGTGCTGTCAAATAAAGAAGAAAAACCCTTCGATGTCCTTTGCCATTAAGACCTAAGTGCTTTCAGCTGGGGTCATGGAGAGGGCGAATCTGGAACCCCACAATGCCCATTTTTCTCAGTCACTCCAGCTGCACTGTCGTGTTCTCCCCTGGGACACGCTGTTCGGTGAGGCTGGGCGCCGTGTAAGAAATTCAACAACATTGCAGGAGCAGCAGTCACAATCACATCATCCTTTCTGTCCAAGTACAAAAATGAATCAAAGCAAGGAAGAGGGGCTTACCCGGGGTCATTCCCCAGGGCAGTGTCAGAGGGAATTTGGCATTCTGCCCTCCTAGTTCTTGGGGTCATGCTTAAACTAACCATGGGGAGCTGAAGTATCTCTGAGCTGCTAAATAATCCAAATGGCCTTTGTGCTAAAGTTTAAATGAATCGGGTCTGTTAATTAGCCTTCTCCTCTCTGCAGGGTGATGCCAATAGGTCAGACACAGATGAGGACAAGACATCTGCCAACTTCGATGATGATTTTGAGAAGCTAAAAGATCTCCGAGCAACAGGTAGGATTTTGTCTCTACATTTGCCTGGGAATCTGAGAGCTACACCTGTGCTTCCGCAGTCATCTTTTTGTAGATACTTATGGGGGAAAGTAGAAGAATGCATTTTATTTGGCAATTAATCTGATAGCTGTGTTAACAGAGCAGCTATGCAAAAAGTGCTGGGGAAGCAAAATGAGCACCGGTGTTTCCTTTAAACAGATGTTTTTCTAATTTGAACTACACTAGAATATTTAGATATGTCTCATCATTTCTTCTGTGTCATTACCACAGAATGGTTTGCTGGCAGCAATATTCTCACACTGCTTCTGAGCAGCTTCTCAAATCAATCATGTTCTCATCTGTTCCTTTTGACTTCTCACACAAATGCATTTAGGTGAGGTTTGATTGATGGCCATGGTGCTGTTCATTTGTGTTACAGGAAGGGCTGGCAATTGATTTGGGGTAAAACCACATTGTACTGGTGTGCTATAAACATGGAATAGCAGGTGACAGCCAGACAGGGGACAGGGGATCACGTATTTTAACAGGGTGAATAGCATGATGGCAAACAGGAGGCAGTTTAGTTTCTCTCTACTTTGATTCTCGGTTTGGACTCTTGTTAGAATTCGTTTAAATGCTTCTAAACAAGGATTTGTTTCAGCTAAGGGAATGATACTGATTGTGGTGAGCAGATGGAATTCAGCAGAGGAGAGGGCAGAAATAATTTGTTGGGGAAGCTGAGGCAGAGCTGGATCCCAGCAAGGTGATGGAGCTGCTCAGTCTGCAGGTGAAGAAACAAATTCCAAACAGCAAGTGATACAATGAATGTCCACTGCAAATGGCTGGCAAGGAACCCACACCTTAAATTTCCTTTGCACTGACTATTTGCTGAGCAGCTTCAAATAATAAGAGAGTTCTAGGGGAAAGAAATACTGTCAACCCTTCTGAGGTAATACAGGAGTAGAAAACAGGGCTGAACTTGCCATCAGTCAAAGTTCATGAGTAATTGTATGTCTCCATAAGCCTCACAGGTGCCAACCGGTGACTAAAGAGCATAAGGACATTAACAATTCTATTGCAATGCCATTGGTCTGTAAACAGACACACTGGCAAGAGGACCCTCTATTGCAGATTAGCAAATTTGGAGCTGGATCTTCCACCCCTCCAAGTGAATGGCAATGTTCCCACAGACTTCTGTGGTGCAGATCAGGTATTTGTGTGCAAGCCAGCAACAAACAGACGATACAATAGAAGCACGCTGCATTGCAAAAGCAGCCAGTGGAAGAAAAACCGCAGGGGTAATGCCCTCGCTTGGATTTCTCACTGCAGCCTTGTACTTCTTTCCTGCTGGTCACGGATGCTCCCATCCTTCCCTCTCCTTAAGACTGATTCTGCAGTTATTAAACCAGGACCCACAAAGCCCAGTAAAACGGGAGCTAGTTCAAATTTAGTTTTGTGTTTGAAATCAGGCTTGTGGTTTTGAGTATTGCAATGACATTTGCCATATGCCTTTCAACATGCTGATCTTATTTGCCCACAACATTTCTTCTCCATTTAGCAGAGTTCTAAGAAGACTCAAGGTGCAATGTCCATTTTGAGGAGTGATTGCTGTAGCTGAGCTTTCACCTCGTATTCTCTCTCCTCCCCAGAGATGAAGATGTACTCACTCGCCGTCACCCCAAACGGACACCTGGAGGGCAGGGGAAGCATGCCACCGCCTATCATCATGCGCACTGCTGCCACGCCAATGCCCACGCCAAAGTGCTCCCCACACATGGATTCAGTGCACACTTTTGTGGAGTCGAGGAGAGGGAGTAACGCGTCGCTAGACCCCTTGAGCTACGATCAGAAGTCCTTGGTAGGTTCCTATTGCTAATGACTCTCCCTCAAGTGCCTGCAAGCAGCACAGATGATATATACGTGTGTGTGCGTGTGCGCACATTGCTGGAAAATGAAAAGGGGGGTGATAGAGGTGGAAAGGCAGGAGGAGGATAGAGGCAAGGGGGAGAAATGAATGGGTGTGGTATGCTGGGGCAGGAGACAACATAACAGTCAAGGGCAGTGAGTATATGAAGCGAGGAGACGGGGATGTACTGGGATTCAGTGTTTTCCTGCCTAGTATGTAATTGGAGGCCCATGCCAAGCCACCTCACTGGAGAGACACAACCTGAGACAAGTCATAAGTTCATGCAGTTGTCCCAGCAAACCCCTCTCAAGAGGAGGAAGCATCTTTTGCCAACCACACTGGCCATTTTGTGGTGTCTTGGAGAAGCTGGCAAGGGTTCCTGTTTCCCCCCACAGTGTTTTAGGGTTGTGTCTTGAATCCACCTTGTGTCAAGGGAAAAGAACCATTTGTCCTTACCAGCACAGCAGCACCATTGGAGGGGAATCAGAGAAAGCAAGATCTGAGCTCACCAGTTGCCACCAAGCACAGCTCGTGGAGCAGAGATGTGGCTGGAGCTGACTGCTTTGGCAACATTTTGCCTGCAACAGGGGAGCGGGAGGGCAGCTCTGTGAAAACAGAGAGAGCAGAGTTAACAGACAAAGTGGATTTCTGCTGCTGCTTATCTGTCCCATTCCTCTGCTCTGTGACTGCAATATCATGTTCAAATCAAGGCAGCAGACCGTGAAGGAACTTCACACAGAGACAGAGCCACTATCCCTTTTGGTAAGCTGCTTAGTCAAGGTAATGCTTTTGAAAAGAAAATAGAGATGACTGTTGTTTGCCTTGGGGTTTCATGGGATTGTGAGTTGCTGGAGAGGGTTGTTCATGCTTTGAATCCTTTCTCTGAGAGCACATCAGTGCCACCAGCCAAGGGAAGATGAAGCAGTTAGAGGAGAGCTGGCCAACGCTGAGTAGGAGGAGGAAGGCCGTTTGCCTCGTTTTGTGCTGGGAGGAAGCCACGGAGGAGAAAGGAGTTCTTCTTCTAGCTTTTCTGTTCTGACCTTAAGTGCTCTCATCCTGGCAACTACCTGCCAGCCAAAGTGCACTGACACACCGATCAGAGCCAGAAATTTGCTGGAAGAGAAACATTCATTCCATCTCCTTATGCAGCAAATTGAAGAGAAAGTAATGCAAATGGGGACACGATTTCCAACAAACACTTGGATGATCCAGGTGCCAGAGCACCTTTGGAAACCCAGTTGTGGGCTAAAGCCACTTGAACCTGAGGAAAGAAAATGCCACTTCAGCAATAGTGTCTTTGGGTAGTGATTTTATGCGCAGTTAATGTTGTGAGGACAGTAGGAAGTCATGCAGCGCAGAGGATTGGTAGCTGTGCTAGAGGGGTAGCTCACAGAGTACCTTCAGTGTGGGCTTGGCTCGGGGCTCGGCTCCCATCTCAAGGCATTGGCATGATGAAATCAGAGCAGTGAGGAAAGCTGGAAGACATGACTTGCAACGAGAAAGGTCTTCCACTCAGGGCAAAATGCCATATCTTTTGGCTTCCTCCTGGAAACAAACCCTCAAATGTCTTTGTCCTCTCTCAGTCCAGCCTCCGCAGTTCCCCTTGCGCCAACTGGGGCACCAGCAGCAACTGGGGAAGCCGACGCTCAAGCTGGAACAGCCTGGGCAGAGCCCCGAGCCTCAAGAAGAAGAACCAGTCAGGAGAAAGGGAGTCCTTACTCTCTGGGGAGGGGAAAGGCAGCACAGACGATGACTCCGATGACGCCAAGTCCAGCACAGTCAGTAGGCCCTCGTTGCACCGCCGGGCAGAGTCCCTGGACTACCGCAGCTCCCTGGATTTGCCTGAGCTGCTGCAGTTGCCCACCATGCGCCACTCGCTCAGTATCAGCCCCATGGCCGTGCTGCCTGCCGAGTACCAAGACTGCAACGGCAAGATGGTTCACGTCCCCAGCGAGTTCTTCCTGCGTGTCGATGGCCATAAGGAGGATGCCATGGACTATGATGATGACATGGAAGATGTGAGTTGAGGGGGGAATTGGGTTCTCACGTGTTACGTGGCTTTTCCGCTCCAAGAAGGCTGATTTAAAATCCATCTTGGAAACATATTACTGCCTAATGGCTGGTGTAGACAACATGAATCCAGATTCGAGGGATGGGCCTCCTCTTCCTAGGTGGTTTGTTTTTGGTTTTTTTTAGCTAATGGGTTGGGCTGTTACATTGCAGTGGTCTTTTGTGAGGTAAAACTGCAAGGGGATGTGCATGTATTTGCCGAGTTTTTGGGCTGGTTGATGTTGTTCCACTGGCCTGGGATGACTCCAAAAATGAGCTGTAGGCACAACAGCTAGCCAATATCTTTGCTCACAAGAGCTGTTTGGCATCTTGAAGGCTTGAAATCCTAGAATGAATGTTTTCTACTTAACTTTTTGGTTGTTTGAGCCCTTTTTGTTTTTGACACAATTTGGATCTCAGAATGATACCTGCCTAGAAGTCTTGCTTTGTCATGTTCATATCTCACTGTACAGCAGCCCCTTTCTTCCATCCCTTTCCTCCCTGTTTTGATGGACAAATGTGACAATGCCTGCCACAGCTCTGTCCCAAAGGCCATGACTGCCTACAGGCGCTATGAAATGCCATGTTCTGCCCCCTTTCACAAAAGGACTGTGAAAGTTGAAGAGGCAGGAAAATAAAAGAGGAAGAAAAGGTGTTTCTTGTTTTCTATCCAGAGTTACTGCTATCGGATTCGCAAAGTCCTGGAGCCCTACAAACCACAGTGGTGCAAGAGTCATGAAGACTGGTCCCTCTACTTGTTTTCCCCACAGAATCGGTAAGAAATCCCAGTGAAATGCCAGCCCACCAGGTTTTTGTGGTAATGGAATCCTACATTTCTAACTAGCCTTCCCTTGAGAAAAATCCCTCTCTGATGCAGAAGCACTGAGAATTTTAGAAATCCAATTCCTGACTTTAAAGTAACTTTTTTGTTACTTGTGGGGAGAATTGTTGCATGGTTCACTCCATGCCTGGCTAGGAGGAAGGGTGGTTTAATCAGCATTAATAACAGCTGTTATTACATCTTGGTTAGTGCATTGATAATGAAGGCTGAAGCTGGTGGAGACACTAGCTCGCCATGGGCTGATGCTGATGGCACAGCTGCTGAAGGCTTTTGAGGATGTGCCATTCAGATGGGAGTCTCTTGCTGACCCAAACATCTGAAAGATATTTTTCTCCGCGCCGTGTCTTCAGGTTCCGAGTGATGTGCCAGAAGGTCATTGCTCACAAAATGTTTGATCACGTGGTGCTGGTCTTCATATTTCTCAACTGCATCACTATAGCGCTGGAGCGACCAGACATAGACCCACACAGCACAGTGAGTACCTGAGGCATTTTCTTCCTTGATCCAGCATCCAGATCTTAATCTTGTCAGGGCAAGACCCTGCAAAAGGAAAGATGTTTGTTTTCCGATGTCTTTAAATAACTTGCCTCTTTTTGTTGTTCCATGTTTTACAGGAAAGGATATTCCTAAGTGTTTCTAATTACATCTTCACTGCAATCTTTGTGGCTGAAATGATGGTTAAGGTAATTACATCTTCATCCCATGGCCCCTAGTGAGTCCTGGCAGAGACCAGAACATGACATAGTTAAGATCTGGGTGAAGATTTAAATGTCTCTCTTTTCCTGGCTGTAGGTGGTAGCTCTTGGCTTTTTCGCTGGGGAGCACACCTATCTGCAGAGCAGCTGGAATGTCCTGGATGGAGTCCTGGTCTTTGTATCTATCATTGACATTATTGTCTCCATGGCATCGGCAGGCGGAGCTAAGATCCTGGGTGTCCTTCGCGTTTTGAGACTTCTGCGGACCTTGAGACCTCTCCGGTACGTTCACCGATAGCATGGCTTGAGTTTTCTTTGTGTTGATAGATCAAGGAGCTTGAAAAAATGCACGTGATCAGTCAAGGTCTTGCTTAATAACACAAAAAGCCGAAACACGGTATGGGTAGAATCATCTTCGGGGAGCTCTTATCTAGTGAAACTGTTTGAAAACAGTGAAATTAGTTATTATGTAATTCATCTTCTCCAGCATGGGAAAGAACGGATGGAGTTTGGAGTGAGAGGTGTTATCGTACTCGGGCAGTTAGTGCAGTGAATGCCTCCTCCACGCTGCATTTTTATCACCGTTTTACAAAACAGTCTGGCTCCTTGTTAAACGGCACAGCCTCACAGTCGTTCCCAAGCAAAGAATTCACGTTGGCTGAGAGAAAATTTGCAATTGAACAGGTGCTGACAATAATTTGATAAGCTCCAGCATCTATACCTGCTCTCCCGTGCCTGCATATCTAACGTTACTGCAAAACAATTTAGCTCTCAGCTAGGAAGAGGAAGGGGAGACGCTTTCAGTATTTGAGAAAAGGAATAAAGAGAATTTGTATTTTGTTTACCATTATGCAATAACAAAGAGCGTTAATGCTTGGGGGATTTTTATCAGCTCAGGGCTCCTGTTCTGTTTCCATCCTGCTTGGCAAGAAGCACAAGCCTTTTTTCATGAAATTTCAGGGGAAATAAGATAGGCATCTCCTGAGACCTGTAGGCTTTCTGATGAAAAGCTGCTCACTTATGAGAGTAATAGGAAGAGGCAATCTTGTTCAGGCTCATGACCACAAGAACAACAGCTATTTGTCTGCTGCTCTGTATTTCCTTAGTGACAAGTAACTTTGTGAGTGTTTCTGTCTCCTCTCTTGCTCTCGTGCTCTGTTCTGCTGGTGGCATTGGGGTCCCCTTGCAGCGTTGGGTCACCCTGGACAAGCCTTGGCCTGGCAGCACCTTGGGGCACCTGCCTGAGACACATCTCCAGGGACAGAAATCAGGGCATGAGTGATTCATAAGTAAATGTAAGGGGGAAAAAAAAGGAATTGGTGTTGGAGAATAACTAGGGCAGATCCTATTAATAGAGAGGAATTCGTCACTTCTAACGATGGCTTCATTTATCACAGCCTCTTCTAGGATTACTCCGGGGACCATTCCTAACACTTTGTAGGTGCAGGTCAGGCTGCCACATTATTTGCTGCTGAACAAGACCCTATTGAAATGCTTTGTCCCTGCAGCATACAGCTCTGCTCTTTTCTCTGGGTTTGGCAGGCATGAAAGCATCGTTAGCTGTGCAAGGACTCATACCCTCTCCCCTCCACAGGCACCTCCTAAAAACAAATCTTTGAAGTTCTTCAATCAAAACACCCACCTTCCCCGAAGAGCCTGCTTGGGCTAGTTACGCTTATGTGTGGAAACACATTTTTCACACACCCGTGGGAGAGCCTTTCTCCAGGCACTCGTACAGGAAAGGAAAACCCTTGTTCTCCATCACACCCAGAAGCTGCTTGGGGCTGTGCTCAGAGCACGCCTGGCCTCTCCCAGCCCCACAGCAAGCAAGCTGCTGCTTCATGGGATGACCCTTGGGCTGTGGAGCTGTTGGTCCTGTCGGCTAAGAGTCAGTTCAAGAACTAATTAGGAAACAAATGGAAATGACTCGGTTTGAAAAGTTGTCACGGGGCCCAGGCCAGTAGGGCAGGGGAGCACTCCCACCTGTAGGAAGAGGACAAGACGTGCTCTCTGGTACCGCTGTGAAGCTGTTCACACGTTGTGTTAGGAAGTAGGCTCCTGCCTGGTGTGTGCCCCTCTGCTTGGGTCTGAAAGACCCCAGAGGGAATCAGCTCTCTGGGATGAGGTACAAATAGTAGTGGGAACCTCTGGGGTATTCTGCCCATAGAGAGTATTCCCTCCTCACTGTCACTAGCGAGCAATTGCCCAACACCCTGTAGGGTATCCTACACTTTTTTAATTCCATCCAATGTGACTGTGAAGGCTCTGGTTGTCCAGATAAGTCACTAATGGTCTCTGAATCCTGTCTGCAGGTAGAGGAGGGTTGTGTTACCTTTACAAGCAGGGGAGGAAAAGCAACCATGTAATAACAGGGCATGCCAAAAAATTAAGAGCTTTATTGTTTTGCCATTTTTTCCAGAGTCATCAGCAGAGCCCCAGGTCTGAAGCTGGTGGTAGAAACCTTGATCTCCTCCTTGAGGCCTATTGGGAATATTGTTCTCATCTGCTGTGCTTTCTTCATTATCTTTGGGATTTTAGGGGTTCAGGTAGAGTATTTCCTTCACCACGGCCATCTGTAAGTGACTGCAAAAGAGAAGCTGTTTTTTCTCACTACATGGGGTTAAGGTGGAAGTAATGAGGTTAAATGTCTCCAAAAGAAGATTTCGGCTCGGTGTTGGGAATGAAGAGCCAGGCCCTAGAAGATATGGTCTGGGGTGGGGTTGGCATCTGCTCATTGAAATGTCCTCAGGATTAGGAGAGCAGAGCTCCCTGATGAACAGCTCAGCACCAGCGAAGCCTGCCTGAGGGGAGGGGAAGGGAAAGCCAAATTCCTAAAATCCCTCCCGGCTCTGCGTGCTAGGATGTAGGGGAGATTGTCATCCTCCCAACAAGACAGGGCAGGTCTGCAGGATCACCTTCCTTCTGTGTCTGAGGCAATACACAACCGTGTCTCGGGGCCTGAAGTTTCACCAGAGGTGTTCTCCTGCCATGTGTGTTAAGACAGGTATCTGAGCTGGAGGGAAAGGAACTTGAACTTGACAAACAGCTCTGCTAAGGGAAAGAAAGATAAAACAGGGGACAGACTTTTCAAAGCTGCTTCTTTTTTTTTTTTTTTTTTTTTTTTGGTTGCTTCTTAAATACAGCTTTTTAAAGGCAAGTTCTACTACTGTGATGGTCCTGATGTGAAAAACATCACTACGAAGACTGACTGCACCAACGCACGTTACAAATGGGTTCGGCGAAAGTACAATTTTGACAATTTGGGACAGGTAAAGTCCTCACTGCATGGATTTTCTGTACCAGTTTTTAATGGATAAGCGCTTAAATGTATTGCTTGCTGATAGTATGGAATCTTTGTCAGTTTTAGTCTCTTGACCTCTGTTATGTTTGCAAATGAAAAAAATAAGGTGCTTTATACTGGCTGAAAAGCAAGAGAGCCAGTCGTAGGAGCTGGGATATATTATTGCTTTTTAAAACCCCATGATGTTGGGCTAGCCTGACATACCGATTCTTAATCATGCTTTGGTGGCCAGAAAGCTTGATGTGTCTGAGCAAAAATCAGCCTATATGTGAGGGAAAAGAAGCATTAATGACCATAGTTTGCTCACTTTTAAACCGGAGAGGGAAATAGGTAAAAGCAAGCCACAATATGTTGCATTTCTCCACCAGCTCCAGAGGATGTGTTATGAGCTGTGGATTGGTTTTGCTGAGCATTGTCTGTTGTTAGTTTCTTTCCTGGGGACTAAAGTGCAAGACCAATCTCTTCTGTCTGTTTGTTCTTTTCTTATAGGCCCTCATGTCCTTGTTTGTCCTGTCCTCCAAAGATGGCTGGGTGAACATCATGTACGATGGTTTGGATGCCGTGGGTATTGACCAACAGGTAAATGTACTTCAGAGTCCAGATGCGTTGCTCTCAGAAGTCTCATTCCTGGGTGACTCTGATGTTTTTGAAGTCCCAGGAAGGAGCAGAGCTTTAGGACCTTCTTGAGGTCGTGTCTGCCCATTGGGCTGCCAAGGTTTTCCATTCTCCGCTGAGTAGCTTTTACAGTGTCTGTGCCCCATGTACAAACACTGATGGGGTTTTTAATCAGAATGATGGTACTTGAGGAGGGCCACATGTGCCAAGCAAACTCGTACAAGATAGGAAACAACTAGGAATGTTGTGAAAGGGACACTCTTAAGTTTGTGTGTTACGTGCCATTTGCAAAGGAAAGGCAACACTAACACTTTGTACTGAATTTTCCCCTACTTCTGAAGATCTCATAACAACTGAGAAACATTAGCCATGAGCCCACATCTCAAAAAAAGAGTAAACTGAAGCCTATCTTTAACTAAAATGATCTCGCAGGTGGGATGATGCACGTCCACTGAGATTTATCTTAAGCTATATAACATAAATGCCAAAATAATCAAATCCTGGAAGGCAACTTACGGAGGCTAGGATGGGTTTTACAACAAAAATAAAATTCTAGTTCAGTGAAAAAGTGAATGAGAGAAAACTGTTTTGGAAAAAAGCTCCTAACTCCTCCCAGCCCTTTCCTCCTCCCCACAGAAGTGTACTGTGCTGTCTTGTTGCTACGGAGTGCCCAATATCTTACACACATCTTGTCTATGCCACTTCTCTTCTCTCTTGTTTTTTAATTCCCCACCTCACCAGCCCATCCAGAACCATAACCCTTGGATGCTTCTCTACTTCATCTCCTTCCTGCTCATCGTCAGCTTCTTCGTGCTCAACATGTTTGTGGGGGTGGTGGTGGAGAACTTTCACAAGTGCCGACAGCACCAGGAGGCGGAGGAGGCCCGGCGTCGGGAGGAGAAGCGGCTGAGACGCTTGGAGAAAAAGCGCAGGAGTAAGGAGATATACCTGTCTGGTCGGTAGACTGCGTTACAAACCAAAATCTTTCTGAGCCCTGCCTGCTCCCAAAGCAAGATTTTAGTTTTCCTTTGGTTTTGTTTCCATGGGATTCAAGAGGTTGTTTTGCTTCCTTACCTCTTTGGCGGTACCTTAAACCTTGGGGCTGCCAACACCCTGGGATTGTCCTCTACAAGCCTGATGTAAAGCATCACCTGTTTACTTGGCTGGGGAGAAAATCCTCCTCCAAGCAGAGTCCTCCATCACTCTCTGCAAGGCAGAGGTGTCCCAAGCACCGGGCGGGAGCTTGCGGTGTGCCTGGGGGATGCAGTGAGTAGACAGCTGCAATGCTTACTGTGTGCGTGGAGGCCAGTCCCGAGGGCAGCCCTGGGGCTTAACGTGCCGCTTGCATCTGATGATGGTGGTGGTGGTGGTTTGATTTTTTAATTCTTTTCTTAGACAAAATAATTGTGATGCTTTTTAGAGTCCTAGCGCATGGCCCCGCATGCCACAAACATGCTGCATGAGGGCATGAACTAACTGACAGCCCTGGGGAGAGGAACGGAGCCCCAGGATGGGGCTGTCCAGAAAATTCTGCTCTGGAAGATGTCCATTACAAGAGATGCTTGCCCCATCACAGGCTGGGGGAGCCCTTCCCTGCTTAGCAGTGTGCTGGGACTCAGGTTGTCCTTGCGAACAGTCTACATGGAAATACTGGAAATGCACGCCTGACTCGGAAGGCAGGCAACTGCATCCCTCGCAGCTCCTCTCCTGCTCTTGTGCTCCTCTTTATCAGACCCCCGGGAGACCTCAGCGCTAAATCTCTGCACCAGGGTCTCCAGAGGGCTTAATGACAGGCTGACCTGACACCACCGTGAAGGCCAAGCCCGTTTCATTTTAGCTGGTTGTGAGTAAAGTAGCTGGGTTAAAATGGAATTGAGACCAAACTAGGCAGCTGCAAAGAGGAGCTGAATCTCTTCGGAGATTTCTAAGAGTTCAAATGCAATTTCATTTCCCTTTTCCCATTTTGGTTTTTGAGTTTGAGTTTCCAGCTAGGATTAGAAGTGGAAATCCTGAAGGCAGCATTTCCAGCACAATAAGAGAAATCAGTTTCAGGCTCTCAAGAGTCCTCCTGCTTGTGCAGTATTTCTACACCAATGTCTGACCCAAGAAGACACTCGGATAAACTCAAAGTTTATGTGCAAAAAAAAAAAAAAAGAAAAGCTTGTTTACAAAGAACATTAAGCATCCTTAGATAAAATAGACTGGGGCACAGGTAAGGAGGGATAGCTTAACTGCAGCTAGTTGCTTTTAATTATGAAGTAAATCTTATTACAAGCCTGTCTGTGGCTCGCTGCTTAGACTCCGAGAAGAGCCAGTCCCTGTCAAAGTGATGGACACTGTCACATTGCCCCTCTCTGTCCAGCTATCCTGAAGGATAGAGTCAAGGAGACATTTCAGACCGCAGACCCAGGCATTGCACAGATGCGGGTTGTAACATTTCACTGAGAGCATGCAAGGAGGAGGACAGCTTTCTGGAGGGTGATCAAGTCCAATATAGCAACTGAGAGGATAAATGTTTGGCCATGTGCTGGGCTTCCAGGAGGTTACCTCAGATCGTCCGGCTCTGAGGTCTCCTACCTGCCTCTGTTCAGCATGGATAGCTTGGCATCCGAATTTGAGTTGTTAGCAAGGTGAAATCAAATATCAGATACACATTTTGGAAGATTACTGTTTATATTTTAATGGATATTTTCCAGTTTAAATGGGAGGAGTTTTCACCTCCTGGAGAATTTAGAAGACAATGGATTTGGTGTAAAAATGTGGCAGACTCAGAAAGATGTGAGATGTGGTTGGTGCCGTGCGTGGAGGAGTGTCTGTGTGCACGTGTGGGCATGGGTGCATTCCACGTGCCCCAACACGGTGTGTCTTGCCCATACGGAGGAGCGGGTGAGAGGCCAGTCCCCACGGGGCAGGACGGGCACAGGAGACGCGGAGGAGCAAGGAGCCCACGTTGGGAACCCTAGCAGAGAGCCCTGCTTTTACTTCAGTTGCCATGTCTAGCATTTGGCCTGAAGAGACCATAAGGGGAGGAAGAATTAGGGCTGTTAACAAGTAAAATCCAGCATAGCTAACAGATGTACTATCTGAGCAACACCAGTCCATCTGGACTCGCCCTGTCTGCCTGGCATCTTGTCTTTGTGTCCTGTCTCCTGTCTGTAATGTCCTCTGTGTGTGTTTCTGTGTATTGAGGTATTTGGGCATCTGTAGGTACCTACACACACAGAAACACACCACTGAGCCATGGTAGGCTTGGGCTTAGACCTGGGTTAAGCCCCAGCTTATCAGTGCCTGGATGGTCCCATCCGAGGGGTACGAATCCCAGGCTCTGCAGGATTTGGATCCTGTGTGCAGAGCTGTGAGCCTGGAGAGGGATTGCTCCGTGGAGGACGCAGCCCTGCAGCAGGACACAGCTCCTTCATCAGAACCCACGCAGGTGGGATGGAGAATCACCACATGCCTGTTTTGGGGGTGCTTCTCAGGCCTTGCAGGAGCCTGGCAGGAAGGTCCCTCTCAGCCCACATCTCTGCTGTCAGACAGCACAGCGTACTTTTTCACGGGAAGGTAAAAATTCCAGAGAAACTAGAATGTTTTTCTAACGCAGTCACTACCTCCATCCACTGTATCTACTATGTAAATAAGGGTAGTGTAATTTAATAATCCTGCAGCTCCTAACCTTTTATTGAGGTTCTCAGAAGACACAGACTGAAACCAGCCTCCCCAGATTAAAGTTTTTAATTAAAACCACATGGATCGGCTTGATCTCCTCTGCGTGCGGGATATGGGGCCACATCCAACCCTCCCGTATCTGCCGTGAAGCCAGCAGCCGCTGGCCCGCAGAGGAGAGCAATGTCAGGTCAAACACAGGCGGTACCCTGGGCTTCAAAGGCTGCAAGTGGGGTCTGGGTGATGCTCTGTGCCGAAAGCAGTGCAGGCAACGCTGGAAAAGCTGGAAATGCCTGACACAGCCCTGGGGAGGCCCTGTCTGGGGAGCAGAGAGTGCCTTTGAGTAGTGTCACAAAGTCATTGTTCCCCAGAAAGACTCCAAAAACTGAGAACTCAGAGAAGGCGAGTGCTTTTTCCTGATTTCCACACCGTACGAGAGGAGCATGGCCACAGCCGTGTTTCTCCAAGGAGTTTCCCAACACAGAGCTGAGCGTCTGGACATTGTAGGAGGAAGAGGCCAGTTTTATTTTAAGACCCAGCAGAGAAGCCTTTCAAAGCACTGACTGTAAGCCGTTCTCTCTAGGGGTGAGCAATCATGGGCAGCACAGAGTGGTATTTAATTTAGTCCATCCTCTCGATGCCACAACCATCTCTGTATCCAGCAGAAACATTTGAGCTGTAACTAGAATTTTGGGCATTGCATAGCTGAGTGTTTAGTATTTCCATCTAGGGAATTATCAAACCATCTTGCTTATTTTTCCAGGCAGCTGCAGGTACAGAGCTACTCTGTGCCAAGCGTGCACATAAACCCATCAGGGCTTTCTAATGTTTCATGCAGAGGAGAATAATGGAGAAGCTGTAGCTAGCAATTGTAATGCCAACCAAAATGCTTTTAAGCTAGGAGACAGTGCTTCATTAATTTTCATGTCAGCAGAATCACAAGCAAAGGAGTTTAAATTCTCTGCAGAGAGGTGAGATCCAAGTATTAGCTAACATCTAGGAGTGGGGGCAAGAAAGGACTGTGGTTTTCCTTTTGCATATATTTGATGGTTTCTCCTTTCCCTTCTGCATCTCTACCAATTCAAACTCAGCTGCAGCTGAAGGGATACTTCTCTGTGTTTGCTATAAGTCTGGTAGTTGGGTG